CCAACGATCTTATTCTTGTCCGCATTTTAGCTTAGCAGAAGATAACTCGAGTCTGAAGCAGAGTTCTTCCATATGCCTGTTGCCTCAAGTTATTCTTGATCGTGCCATGGGTCGTCGTCCGGTCGGTTAGGCAAGCACTGGCTGCTTCGCCTTCCTTTGTATAAGTAAGCATTCGAAAGACATGCTCAAACCATCGCAGCTGCCACTTGTCAATCTGGAGAAACAGCGGCTGTACACCGAGACTTTTATGAATATCCGAACTTCTGAAAGTACCGAGACACGTGGGCAAAGTCCGACTGTTGGTACCCGGGGTTGCAGTTTTTCAGTAATGCTCCATCATTCATGACCATGGAAGAGCATACAGACAGCTTCATCTTCGGACTCAGATATCTTTCACTAGATAACACAGTAAAACTTATGGAAGCGGTTGATTCGGGAAGGAAAAAACTTGACGTTACCAAAGAATTTCGCTTCACTTCTTTGACGTTACTCAAAAAACGAATCAAGACACCGTACGACTTCAAAGAAGGCGGATGTCCTGGTGCTTCATGAGGTCGTCGAAAGTGCTGTGATAGTATAATTTCAAGACGATCGCGCTTGACATATTCAAATGTCAACCAGTCACTCGGCTTCTTCCTTCTGAGATTCATAAATCAGTGCTACTTTGTTCGAAAAGAAACAACATTAAACACTGTGCAAACTATGCTAGCCATACAGATACAGACTTTGCCTTTAAAATAAGGTACTTCTGGCCTGATGGCACAGAGACAGAAATCATCGCCGTACCTTTTAATTCCTGGAAAGGGCGCCAAAAATCGCCTCCCCCAAAACAGTAAAAGGAAACCCGACATTCGAACGGTTACAACTTTCCTTTTACTCAATGGTTAGTCGACCACTTGTACTAGTAAATGCGTTGCAATTTGCTCAGCTAATGGGGAACAGCGATTTTCAAACAACTGTTGCATGGCTTAACGGATTTCGAGATCGCTATGGGATGCATCAAAAGCGATCCGTCTGCAGACGAGTCTAATGCCACACTTCAAAGAACAAATGAATGGCGCACGGAAGAAGTTAAAGACACTCTTCAACTCAAATCGATAAATTTTATGCAATTTTCAAAGGCAGAACACAGCCATTTAATCAGCTATTTGATTCGTTTATCATTCAGCTGAAATTTTTATTTAAGTGGAATATATATTGACTGCCTGCATTGTTTGCAATAAAACGAACTGTCACGGCTGCAGCTGTCCCAGATCCGGCTATATGACGATAAAAACTGACAACGATGGGATAATGATCCGTATCTCTTCTGAGTTTATCTTGTGGAATTTGCAAAACGTTCAGATATTTTTTTGAAGTTGTTCTTCATAAGAAGTCAATTAATTAGGCTGTAGTATAACTGTTATGTACACAAGGCAATGCTTTTATTTCCAGAAGAGGTATATCCTCGAAATGAGCCGAGATAACTGTCACAGTGGTCAACTTCTCGTGCAACAGTAAACAATTCAAAGTCTGGCTTCCAAATCAGGCTTCATGGAAAATCATGATGTGCTTGTCACCGACCTTTGTTGAGCGTGAAAGAGGATAGAGGAAAACTTTCGATCCGTGCATTACAACTTTTCAGTCAGGTTTTGTTATGGCAATCTAATGATGGAAGCCGCCGCCCCAAAGGACAACGCCAAACATGGAAAGACATCCTTCAAACAGGGCTGCGATCACTTATGCATGTTCCCTTCGCGGAACGGGCGAAAAGTGCCTGAAACCAAACGAATGCGCACGCCATTCGGCGGACGCCAAAAACCTCAGTACTTCTGTATCTGGTGCAAAGTCTAAACGACGACGACCAAAACGAGCACTACTTTTCAGCAATATATCAATGCTATACAGCATTCAGCGATGCATCACAGTGAAATCGGTCGCAGTGACACACTGGAAAAAAGGTCATCGAACGCCAGCGTTGCCGGCTTCCAGTTTAGAGAAAGGATGAAATTTAAAATAACCGTTAATTCCTTTGAGCAAAGAATTTACCCTTCCCCTCGTTGCTTCCTTGAGTGTGGTTGAGAAACGGGTACTGAGATAGAGAATAGCGAAAAACAGGTCAACATATCATTCTGGTGCAGTCATATCAGATGTACGACAATAATGTTCAACGCGGACCGCTATTGTAACTACATTTAGTCTTTACCCGGACAGATGACTGTCTAGTGTGGTAATTAGCCCAAGATGTAACCACGAACAAAACTTAAAAAATAAAATCGAAAACAAATCACAGCAAACGAAGAAATAAATAAGCAGAAAGCAACGAGAATGGTTATTACACGTCGACAGTGGAAGGGTCATCGTAGTCTCCTGGCTCTTCGAGGACTCGGGTGAAAGCTGGAAACTACGAGACAACTCCGTCCATCCAAAGTTATGTCTGTTGAGTGACATACATTATGACGATTACCATTTCAGATTGTGCAAAATGACTACTGCAACAACAGACTACTTTTGCACTTATCTGATCAGTGACGGGCCTCACTGCGCATAAGGCAAGAAACTTAGCCTTGACACAAGCTCATGTGATGGCCTCAATGCCACAAAGTCACATGTGACTACCTCCGCGAAAACGAAGTACAGTAACAACACATGTTACTATCGCTGTCTGTGTTTTTGCTTATATCATCACCTTGTGAAGTTTGCATACGCAGCACGTATCTGGTTTGTGATATCCGTTGTATTCGTCGTAGCTTCTCAACTCTTGTTGTACGACAACAGTTACTGCATCCTGGAAGGAACAGTCCCTCTCCAAAAAGCAGATCTGCCCCTACCTTCTTCCTTCATTTGCATAATGGCCTTCTGGTTGATGTCTGCCACGTTTCGGTTCGAACACGAAAAGTTCACTGACTGGAGTAAATGGCTTATGCTCAAGCAGTTTGTCCAACAGGGCCAACCTCCTTTTCTTAATCTCCAGATCCACTAAGCTCACCTGTGCTGCGAAGAGAATATAATCACGCCTCGCGTAGTCCTGCGGTTTAATCCTCCTTATGCCTCAAAGGCAACGCTGCTGTACGCAGATCAACCGATGTTCTTGCTTCTTCGTTAGAATGACTGTCCCCGTCCGTGTCCTACAGTATTATATAGGCGAATTTTTGTGGAAAGAATTACCTCTTTATCAGACAAAATATTGAACAAAATCTGAAAAGTATTCGAGGCTAGGGCGATCCTCCTTTCTGACTCAGGCCCAATGGCGCCATCGTTAGAGAAGATGGAGCAAAGATGCTTAAACCGTTTTAAACTTCATGATGTGCTTCACTTCCCTGCAACTCAGCAGTTCCTCAAAAATTGTAACTTTTTGATGTTACGGAAGAGGCCGGATGTCCCAGCTGTATCGCATACGAAAGTCGTCAGATGACAGAACCCGCTCCCCATACTACTTACTAGGTCAGTATCATCTGCGTACTCCAAGTCAGCAAGATATCTAGCAGAATATTTTGAACAGCGCCTTCCATGTAAAACGGTTGTCGACGAGTACGTAAATCACGACGAAATTTGATATAGAACGAGGCATGAGGATACTGGTTAGTCCGACAATACCGAATGAGGTCATCCGATGAAACAACGTCAAGATGTTTAACATAGTGAACTGTTGTGATGGTCCACGGTGCACAAGTAGTTGCCAAGAAACAGAATCTGAAAGACGGTCAAGAACCACAGAAGAGAACAACTACCTTGCGGCAACATCAAGGCACTGACGTTGGTGTAGTGTTCATTTCTCGCGTTTCGAATATCGTCGAAGGCGCACAAGCCGCGGGCGCTGCTAACCATCACCTACATGCACTTATCTAATCAACCACGCAAGAAACGAACAGGGCCAGACGTCGAGCTTTCGCCCCCCCTCCCCATTAACAACGGGACAAGATGAAGAAGAAAATCACGAACAACGGGCAGAAACACAAGAAATGCAGGAATGCAAGGGCGGTCGGACGTATTCGTATCGATTGCAACGACTG